TAAATACGGCTATCATCTTTTTACATTTATCATACGACATCCAACGGCCGGAGGTGGCTATCCTATCGCATTTCTGATTAGTAAATTTAAAAAAACAATAACTTTAAAAAAATGGATTGAGTTCTTAAAGCTTGAACATAAAGAATGGAGTCCTGATATTTTCATGGTTGACGATGCTGGAGAAGAAATAAAAGCAGTTGAAGAATACTTTCCTGACAGTACAGTACTACTATACCATTTTCACGTATTAAGGTCCTGGCGTAAAAAATTAAATTATCATTCAAGTAATGTTGATAAATATAAGGCAACTATTTGGAATGACCTCTGGCAATTAATGAAAACTGAGGGATGGGATGATGCAGAAGCAAAAAAACAAGTTACCAATGCAATTAATAGGTGGCGAAAATTCGGCATTGAAAGTATAAACACCTTTGCTGATTACTTCGAGCGTTAGTGGAAACCGAAATACGATAAGTGGATGATATGCTTAAGGGGAATTTCTAGAGATATGATCGATACAAATAACTTAATCGAAGCATTTCATCGAAAGCTAAAATATTTTTATATGAAAGGACGCCCAGGGAGACGGCTTGATGGTGAAGTATATCTTCTTGTAGAAGTTGTACTTCGGGACCTAGAATTTTCAGTTTTTTTAGATAAATTAAAGGTTGGTAGAATAAATCCACTGAGACGTCAACAGCGAATTCGTGAAATTACAGGAACAACAAGCATTAACCAAAACAACATTTATAGTATTGGATCTGATGTTTGGATTATACACTCTATGACGAATGATGATGTAGAGTATTCTGTACGAAAAAAAGATTCTGTAAATAATAATAATAATAATAATTTAGATACAACCTCATATATTTGTAATTGTCGTGATTTTAAAGTATGACAGTTACCATGTAAGCATATTTTTGCCATACTTAACCGACTTCGTATTAATGCCGATAATGCTGAAGAAAGTAGCCATGATAACGATTATCTTACGCAACAATTCATGAATCCTAGCATTGAAGAATCTCTTAATTCTTCTAACTCTATTGGCCCTCTAGGTGATGAAAATTTTGAATTTACTAAATTACAAGAGGAGCTTGCATTAATCACTGCAGAATGGAAAGATAAGGGAAATCAAGAAATCCGAAGCTTGCGATTAACACTTAGACAAGCTATTCAAGTAGAAAGAACAATAAATGCAAGAATTAATGTCACAATTGATAATAATGTATTAGATACATCTAACCTAGCACCAAACACTGTAATTAAAAAACAAAAGAGATTTTAACTATGTTAGCCCATATAATTAAATAGATATTCAAATATTACCTTCTGACTTGAATTCTTTTTTTTTTGGTATTATAAAGTATAAATCTTTCAAATTTTTATTATATGTTGATGAAATTAGTATTGTTGAAAAAACTTGCGGGCTCTAATATCTTACTTTTTTAATAAAAAAATATTAGTATCCGTATCTTTAAACAAGTAAATAATCATCTAAAGTGTAATACTTCACCAGAAATACGCTGCTCTAACCATAATCACCTAATTCATCTCAAAAGATTTGACCGTGAATATTTGCAGGAGATATATTTAATTAAAATATTAATACCCAAAAGAGAGATACGTAAAATTATTAATTATCAGATACATTATAGAAGCTATAAATTTAACCCAAAATAGTTAATTACATTTTATACCCTTACCAATTTTAGATATGCACCTAATTATTTTAAAAAAATTTTTATATGAAATCCTGTGAATTAACATGCTATAGTATTTAATGAATCTTGATATGAAGGGTCTAATAAATCTACAATTACGAAAAATCAATTTTGTAAGTATAGAAAACTAATACTATATTAATAAAAAACAATTTGGCACGCATATATTTTTCTAGTGATGCATAAATTACACGCAAAGACTACAAAGTACTGTTCGCTCCTGTTAACAAGATAACTACACATTAAGATAATTAAATAGTTCAAAAAAACTTTAAATATCTCACCCGATTCCCTCTAATATTCCAAGACAATATCAACACATTTTATTTTTTTTCTCTCAAAAGTTTTATTCACACAGTATAAAACTTATCATCAATTCTATATCTTTATAGCTGATCTGTATAATACAGTCATGACCGAATTATTAGGTCACAATAATAATCTAATTAGCAATACAATTACTTCTCCAAATGATCTGTTACAAAATTACCATACTCAAATCGCGGTAGCTCACCAGTACCTTCACCAATCCAAAAGAATGGGAAATAGAAAAGCGGTATTGTGGTATGCCTATTATTTAGGTGAAATTTTGGAAAATATGCCACCTGAAGAAAGACCGTCTTGTTCCAAGCAACTTTCCCGATACTATAACACTGCAGCTGTTCGAACTTATTACATTTTTCGTAAGTGGGGAACTGCCCAAATCAACCAAACCACGAAGTTAACATTGTCAATGGTCTATGAACTGAAAGTAAGAGACTATCAGACTATAGTAAATTAATAGCGACAGCTTAGTAGAGAAAAAGAAGAAATGCTTCATTATATGTAAAATTCCTTACTTAAATTAATAAAGATTAATATTAGTATTCGTATTTCTTAAATAAGTAAACTAATATAAAAAAATATTGTACTTCTCTCTTGCAAAAATAAATCATTAGTTATCGTTATCATATATGAAGAGATCAATAGTTAAACTTGGGTATTCGACCTAACAAATTTCTTAGCTTTAATTAATGCTCTTTTTATCTATAGTTGCATAGGTAAAAGAAATATTGTAACAGGTTAGTAAAGTTGTGAATCAAATAATATTAAATATGATTCCACTTTACTATCTTGCAATAATATTCAATACTTTCTTTACTTTATACTTGCCATATATTCAGTGTCTTAAGCGCCTATTGAGCTTCTTATTGCAGTATTACGGTAGCTTCAAGATTTGATCTCAAGATCTTTAGCTTTTCTAAAGGTATGAATATTGCGAAAGTTTAGAGAAAAGTTATATAAGATTATCTAATCTTAAAAAAATTTTTTTCGAAGTTGGAGGTGCAGTATTAACGGTCGACTAATCACGTTATTAGAGATCGTCAATTTCGGCCAATCGGAAATTTAGATTATCTGCACCTAATAGAAACTTGGGGGGAAATTAGTAAACGCAGGGGATGGCTAAAGCCATGTACTCACGTGATTTTGACGTTTTAATCGTTTTAATTAAAATTAAGGTTAGGATTAGGGTTAGTTTGGTGTTGATATAAAAAAAAATATAAGTAAAATTTCCTTCCTGACATTTTTAATTAGTGCTCCAAGATAGGTTAAAACTGCTGTTTTTCGTCTTATTGCGTTTTCTTTATTTTTTGACTTCTTCGGATTGATCTGTGTTAGCAATCCCGGTTGGTTGATTTACACAAAACAGTCACGTGGGTATATGACTTTAGAAACTACACCAACCGCACCTCCAAATTTCTGTGCAGTCACGTGATATCATGCATCTATTTTAAAATAAACGAAAAATTAAATAAAGCCTAAACATTAGATTAGTGTTAGGGTGAAATTAGAGCATATCCTGTACCAAAATTTGACAAGAAATTTTTTTTGTTAGAATGCAAAAGGTAGTTTCCTATGTAGCTTTTATAGTTATAAGTGATTTTTGATAAAATGAACTTTTGCTTTGAATTTTCCTAATTATGCTACATTATACCTGATCTTGACATCTAATTGGTTGCATAAAATTTTTTGAAGGTGTTCATGGTGTAGTTGGCTTCAGATGACCACTACATTGGATAAAATAGGATGTGCTAATTCTACTTTACCCAATGTAAACAAAGCATCAATGATTGGCTGAAAATATCTATTAGTCTACTCGGATCAGCCTGATAGATCACTCAAGTTGAACTACTACTCATAAGATTCGCAACTCTATTTGATAATCTTTTACAATAATATCTTGCTTACATGATTTTTAAAACTTTAACTTTAAAATATGTTATTTTATCTTAGATATTTTGGTTTAAATATTACAAACTTAATATAGTAGTTTTATATTAAAAATATATACAGTCAGACCTCTATATAATCATCAAGTCCATCATGCTCTAATGTGGTGACTGTATAGAGGTGTAACTATAAACAAATATCAGATTAATATTATATGATCTTCAGCTAATCAATGGTTAATTGGTAATTCATTGTTATTTGTCCTATATCTAAAAGTTTTTTGTACTAAATTAATCACCTTTGAGTCTCTAAGTAAAATTCTAAAGCTAGGGTGGAGAATAGTCAGGTCTATACTCAGGCCCAAAAAAAATTTTGGGCCCAAGCCCAGCTCAGAAAATAAAAGCCTAGAATAATAAGTTAGGCTGGGCCTTAGACCTGGTCTAACTTAGCCTGGTCTGGCCCAACCTAGTTTAATAAAACTTATAAATATTTAATTTTAAACAAACAATAAGCTATATAGCCATTTTTTATGTTTACTTTTAGCAGTTATTGTGCAGTATATATATATATTTTTTTTTAGTATTAAGGTGAGGCCTTGCTCGTATCTTTATTATATATTTATTTAAAATTTTTTTATAATTTATATATAAGACACAAATTACTAACTCTTCCTGACAATCACTTATACCAAATTCTTCTTGAAAACAATTGCTATTTACTTAACATTTTATTAAGTAAATTATCTTTGGCTGCCTAAGTAAAGTTGTTTACACTTAATTTTACTTATAGGCAGCCTAGTTTTATAGCTCTAAGGCTCTTTGCTACTGAGTTATAACCATATTTTTAAAATTCAATATTTTGCCATTTACTTAAAATTTTATTAAGTAAACTCTTCTTGCTTATTAATAGAAAAAGATTAAGCTCAATCAGAGCTTTAATTTGATATATAATATATCTAAAACAGATAAATACTTCTAATTCTATTAACAAAATAATATAAAACTCTCTACAAAAACTCTACTTAATTTTTACAAAAATTTTTTCTTTTTTGGAGGGCATTCTGCTCCCCCTAGGGTGCCCAAACTTGCAGATTCCAATTACTAATCCATATTACTAATAAATTTACACAATCCTAATCTTGTTTCATTTATTTTTATACAAAAAAACCTTCTTTACTATTTTTGTTCTAATTAAATTTACACAAATTTTAGCTTTCAATGATCCTGTCGATCCACTGATCGCTATACTGTGTGACACCTTATTTGTCACCCCCTTTATTTATTACACCCTCTTATTTATCACATCCACTTATTTGCCATACTCTTTTATTCATCACACCCCTTTACTAAAACTTCTATCTGTTCTTCTACATTATATCTACTTTAATCTCCGAAGATCCAGATTTTTACAATCTTGATTACTACTACAAAATTATCATAATCAATATGGAGTAGGAATTACAGAAAAGGATTCTAAAAATCTCAAAGTACTTCCACATGCTTTCAAACCTGAAGCTTACGATCCAACAAAAAAGCACTTCTTTCAAATACTTCACCAACCTTCTATTGGTAAATGCTCCTGTATTAAATACCACACTAGCTTTACTTTAGCAAATTACAGAATTACATATACAGAGCATACAACTGTTGATCAACTTGCAATTATATCTACTGACATCTCTATAAACCAATTAACCAAAAAGTGTGATAATCTACCAAAATCTCCAATTACTAAACAATCTGCTTAGGACCAATCTAAACAAGCCAACCCATGTTTACTTTTTCCTAGTTACTGGACTGATCCCAATCCTGTTGCTATTGTTCTACATTTACAATATTACTATACTTGTATCTTCTGCAGGAAAAAAACTCTTCTCTGTGTATCAACAGTCCAACACGAATATGCACCAGACTATCTTGTATATAACCTCATTAAAAACTGATTGATTCACAGAGAATGTAAACTACACATTCACAACATGAAGCTTACACCTATTTACCGAACTTCATCCAAACTCAAATTTCATCATAAAATAATTATTGCTTGCATTAAAGCTCAAAATAAGGAACCTCTTACCCATCAAGAAAAAATTATAATTTTTTTAATCAAACTCCGAGAGTATATCTTTAAAGAAAAAGGTCTAATCTTGTCATCATTATTTTCAAAAAACCAGATACACAACAACAACAAAAAGACCAAGAAAACAAATCAGAACAACAACAGCAACAACAACACCAATACCAACAACACAATGATAATCAAGAACAGAACCTTAATAAACAACAACAGCAGAAACAAACACAAAGACCTACTAGAGATACATCTAATGATCTAGATTGGTTTAAAGAATATCCAATTTCTGAAAACATGCAACTCTATACAAAATTTGACAACCCTCTTGCATATCAACTTTTTGATTTTATTAAACCACATTTAATCGATATCTACTTAGGCAAAGTAACCAAAAAGGCAGAAGGTGATAAACCAGAATCTAAATTTACTTATAAATATTTATTTAACAAACTAGCAAGCCTAAGGCTTAAATTTCTTACAGACTTTATTTACTAAATAATCTAGACATTGATAATATGATTTCAATTCCATTTAATATCCTCCACTCTACATTAATTTTATTACTTAAAGAATTTACTACAACTCTCTTTATACAAATTGATTACTCTAAAGTTTTAACTGCATATAACACTATTCCTCCATATACCACCACTAATCGTAATCAAGTAGCATTAAACCTTGCTCTTATACACCTTATACTTCATGACAAATACCAGACTATTAATGCAAAAAAATTTTGTGAGGACCTAAATATTCGTCCAATTAGGCTTAAACTCCACTACTTCTTTAGTGTAGATGCTATCAACCAGCCTTTAATCAAAATTCAAAATGATAGCTTATTCAATATAAATGTTTCCTTTAATATTCCAAAAAAACAATTTCTCGAAACCTTCCAGATCCCTTTACTCAAAAAATACTCTGATGATTTCGATACTTGGTTCTTCAAATTCTTTAATCTATATAAGAGACAATTTCATAAAATTGACGAGAAAAAAGTTTGCAATTATATCAAATATAATATTGCTCAAAAATTATCTCAAAACTGTAAAGACCTTTTACCCCACCATTTCTCTATACCTAATATTAATTTACTATACAAACGATTACAACAATGCTTTAAAGCAGCACTGTTCCACATCTATAAATAGGACAGTAAAAACTGTAAAATACTACCTGAAAACAAAGAACACAATGCCAAAAATCTATCACAAGTTTTCTTTGAAGAATCCTTCGAGCACTATCCAGCACCAACAAAGATTCTATCTCTAAGCCTCGTCTTAATCAACCTATTTTAGATTTTTTAATTTTTGAAAAAGGCAAAGCATATATGGCCACTTTTTAAAAACCTATACCAATCACATTCATGCGCAAGCTTGCTAAAGAAAGAAAAGATGAGTGTATAGAATCAATCAGGTTGAGACTGATCACACTAGAGAGAGCTATTATTTTTATAAATACTTTAATGCCTACTTGAAAGCAGCTGCAACTAATGATGGC